GCCGTCCACTGAGAAACTAATGCCAGGGGCATAGGGTGAAGGTGGTGTCGAAGGCGACATGTACGAGGGGTACTGCGGGAAGAGGTGCAGGGGACACTGTGAACGCCCGTACATCTAGGAGGATGATGTCGCTGTTGCGAGGAAAATTTTGAACCCACTAACTTGAAAGGAGGATGCAATGCATGTAGACGCGAAGCACATGTCCGCTACGAGGACGTTAGCGGATTGAGTGGGGGAGTGTGTCACGGACCTAGAGAACTCCCCTACCTATGTGGCATGGCAAGATATCTTATTGCGGGTTTATTGCTATATTTCTCGGAAGTGCACTGACGATATCCCTTTAACAGGATTGGATGTCATGCTTTCTATCTCTATGTTGTGCTTATGTTGCATATCTAAACTTGCCGGTCGCATGTGTGGGGTAGGTTGTCTTGGGGGTCCCTGGAACCTCAAGGGCCGAACGGGAGGTCCGTTACACGAAGCTCAAAACGATGACTGAGGACTAGCCAACACGTAGGAGGCTCAAGACAAGCGACCCACCCAATAGGATCATTGATGATCTTCAAAGGTGGAGAAGCCCAAGTCTCAGTACATCAGGTGCACACAAAGCAATCAAAACAAATCTAAGTCCTAACGCCCGACATAAATGATAGCTTCAAACTTTGAGAACAATTATTTTGCCTCCAAATCATGTGAAGGACTTGAACGCATGGACAAATCGAATAAGCAGGCCTGGCTTGGCTGAAGCCTAGGTTGATGCATCTAGGGTCCCAGCCCTGAGATCGAGCTTGGGTCGAAGCTCCAGATGAGTTCCTTGGCTTGGCCAGAATAATAGTTTTAAGTAACTAAATCATAGGCTGAAGGCCTGAAGCCTATGTCGACGCCAAAGAAGAGACGATCCCGTTAGAATAACTCGAAAAACGTGAAATTCATTAGAATAACCTTAAACGAGTTGGTTCAACTCCTAATTTTAAGTAATGAACCTAATTGAACATTGACTACCTTATAATTGTCAAAAGCGCCATTACTGAGTAACTAATTTTATAGTCTTTGCCATGAAAGTTTTCTTGCTTTAAGAACTCAAAATTTCCATCTTACACTCTGTAGCCAAATGCTCTTAGTTGAGAATTGCAATTGACACGCAGGCCTCTTGAAATTGGATTCTTCTCCCTTTTTCTCTCTAAGTTCTCTCTCCAAAATCAAAGGTGACAATGATATTTTAAACGCTGCATTTCGTGATTTGTTTCCATGTGTATATTCATGCTTAATTTAATGTATCATCGGTTTCTTTTATTTTATTTTATTTTCCTTTTTGGGTTTGCATTAAATTGGAAAGGAACAACACTATGTAGATGAACTTTCAACTCGGCACATTTCCTGGGATTCTGCTATTAACTGCTTTGGGAAACTTTCTTTTATTGATGAATTTGTTCTGTGAAAATTCCAGAGGTATTTGAAATTCCCATTCTTCTTCTTTCATATACGCACACACTTCTTTGTCTAAAAACCCCACGTGATTGTTCCTTTCAGAGCTAAATTCTACCACCTTCGATTCCTGGCGTATGAGTAATGTTTGTGTGTGTAAATATACTGTTAGAGAAGAGAGATATTTGTTGATTGGAAGAATATTTGCTAATATTGAAAAAAAAAAAATACTATGGCATGATTTGGAGAATATTGGTTGATAATAATTGGAATGTTTCCATAATTTGTTATATTCTTTCCGTGATTATCTCATCTATAATAAGGCACATCTATAATAAGGCAGCTTGTTGTAATATGACTATATATACGTGTCGTTGTAACACTTCGTATATACGCCGAATCACGTAATTCTTTGTTTTCTTTTTTATATATTGAATTCTTCGTATTCATTCTGCAACACTTTGTATCTATATATTGATGTGAAAAATTAATCGTTTGATGTATGGTGTTGCACAGTTGTCCAGTCATTTCATTGCATTTTCTTCCCTCAATCGGAGCTCAGTCAAAGACTAGAAGAATATAAAGGTGAGATTTCATCAGTGTACAGATTGTACACTTCCATTTTGGCGGTGATTTGCTGGTCTAGGTACTACGGCTAGAGCAGCTATCTCCGAGTCAACTCAACTAACTCGTTTTTCTTAAATATTCTTCTCCTACTCAGTAGTAATCTTGCCCGGAGGTTATTTTTAGGGCTTTGTCTGATCAAATATGAGTTTCGTATCACCAACAAGGTGGCGGAGCAACGCTCCATACACGGCTATGTTTGCGCTGACATTATTGTTGCTAATCTTTGGAATCTATACAGGTCGGTGCNTTTTTTTTTTTTTTGTGCGTGTGTGTATTGTGTTCAATCTATGTTTTGTGGGTATACTGTATACAAAATATTGGATTTGAATTACTGGGTTGGTGGAGTTTCCATATCGCTTTATTTGTTTAAATATGGCCTCTCTTTCAGCGACAACATGCTTCATTCTTATTCAATCCCACTTTTCTATCCTGTTCTTGTTTTGTAGTTCAAGTTAGTCGTGATGATTCAATGATTCTATATATTTTTTATCTTTTAAAGTTCCGAAAAGTTGAATAATATTGCTTGATGTGTTGAGATTTTTGTTTGATTAATTTAGTTTCCGATCATGGCTTCATGGAGTTGAATCCAGTTTCTTCAGAGAAGAAGAGCATAAACAGTACTGCCAAGAAGAACACTTTCTCTGCTACTCATCGGAAGCTTTTAATTATTGGTAATTGATCTATTATTTATCTTTTAAGTTTCAAATGTGTTTTTAGATAAAGAAAAGTCCGAAAAAATAATCCTTACACTGATAAAGCTCCTGCTTTGATGGGATTTGGCTTATGCATGAACAAAGAGGCCAAAAACAGAAACTCTGAATGCCCAGTGTGCACACAACTGTTACAAATATGTATGTGTATGTGTAATTCTGTACTCTGTGCGACTGCTTTTCGCGTTGTCCTTTGCATGTATATATGCGACTGGCACAGGCATGACTCTGCCACTGTGCGCAAGACTCCACGTTGCTTCTATACTGCACCACCTGTCAGCATTTCCACAGCCTTAGCCACCCTTCTTTCTCTCAGTTGTCTGTGTACAATTCTGCATACTTTGCTGGCGCACCATTATCCGAACCCATTTTGCTCCACCCCCTCTCCACCCTCCTAGCCTAGTATCTACTACTTCCAAGTCCTTTTGGGTGGAGCATCTAGGCCCCTTCTTCGGCGTGTTAAAATGTGTTAGGCCGTCCAAGCCTTAGTGACCAGAAGGCTCCAGACCGGCCTGGTGTATTTAGTATCATATTCATCCTGCGTAGTCCTACATTCTCTATAGAATAATGAAACAAAAAACTATGTAAAGAAATTGTATGGACGCTACGGCCTTAGGCCGAACAGGAAGCGCTGTGAGCCGTGTTACATATAAAAGGAATTTATGAACCTGTACCCCAACCCCTTCCATTAGAACCTATTCCCGCTTCTTGAAGTTCTATATTCCGGTTATTAGGCTTTGTTGTAAGGTTGTAGTTGAGTAATTAGGCAATAAAGGATTTGGCTGCATTATTTTGCTCTCAATTAGAAGTTGGCTCACGTGTGCTTTGATTAAGACTTCTCAATTTAACATTTAATGCGGTTGCATGTTAGCTTTACAGAGTAGATTAGTCAATGTCAAAAAATAAAGGGCCTATGTTCTCCCCTAATCCATTGCCTCTTTTGGCTTGGTTGACTTGAAAGCACTTATGCACAGGCCGTGTTAAATATGTCGGGAAAGGCACCAACCCCTTTTTGGCTCATTTGTCTCTTTCCTTTTTCCTTTGCAGCACCTCCCAAAAGTTTCATTTGTCTATTAACACCTTGAAAAGTGATGTCTTGTTCAACACTACAGCTTAGTCGTCGTGTCAAGGGTGCATCTTCTACAGTACAGTTTAGTCTGTATCAAGGTTGCCCAGCACAACTTGACTTTGAGATCTCATGACACGGTCCATGGATGGCTTGTGATCAGGGACCTGGTCCACGGTCCGTACTCAAGTCTATATTTGGCAGTCCGTGTAAGGATGGTTCGGTACTTTTGATACATCTGCGTTAGACCGTTCTTTAAATACAATGGACGTATTGATCACAATACTAATTTTTGTTACATGTCAATGAATCAAGCTTTGATTAATTTTTCACGAATGTAATCAAACAAGTAAAAATATAAAAAAAAACCTGGATAGTCGAATATGTGGCATGATAGGCTCTTTTGCTAGAACTAAAATAATGTTATTCGGCAGTGTTTTTCGTGCTCAAACAGTTCTTTTGTCTGTATTTGCTTGGCTTTTAAACTGCAGGACGAGAAGGAGAGGAAAAGGAAAAGCTGGCTAACCCAAACAGGATATGGAGTGATAACTGTTCAATATTAGACATAGTTATAAGCCAAGGAGCCACGGAGCCGCTGCCAAATGGGATACCCACATACACCGTGGAGATCATGAACGCGTGCATTGCGGGGTGCAACATTTCCAGGATCCACGTCAACTGTGGGTGGTTCAGCTCCGCTCGACTCATCAACCCCCGCGTCTTCAAGCGGCTCCAATTTGACGATTGCCTGGTCAATGATGGAAAGCCCCTAGTGTATGGTCATACAATCTCTTTCCAATATGCCAACACCTTCCGTTATCCCATCTCTGTTTCTTCCATTGCTTGTTGACTAGAATCAGTTTAATGCGCTAAATATGTGTAGAAAATATTTAGTTATAGCGCTAGACGATACTATATTGGACAAGAGACAATATTTTTACCTTTTTATTTTGCAGCCCTATATATCAAATACTCGATATACTAGAAGCACATCAAGAGAAGATGAATTTTGGACCCGATATCCCTTCTTTTTTTATTTCCTGTTCTACTTTAATTCTATGGGGAGATCTTTTGAGAAATTGGAAATGAGAATTTATTTGATTCCTGCAAGGTTTAAAGACATTGGCATATGAATTTTTAGATATTGAGATGCGATATATGAAAAGTAAAACTACGCTTAAACATTTTAAAAATTCCTCTCGAGTTGAGTATAAATTATTAAATTAAGAACGTATTACATAAGCAATAATGACAGACATAATCCAAAAGTACATATGGAATTCTTAGCTAACTCAAACTTCATTGAGAGGCTTTGAGATTTCATCTTCTATTTCACTTGTCGACCAATGGACCGACATGGTTCTTTTGGGTTTTATCTGCCTCCAAGTTAGGTAAATTATTGTTTAGCAGCTGTGGAACAACTGGAATTATTTCAGAGCACACAATTGCACTTAGCTTCACAACGTCAATAATCTGGTCCTTGAGTTCTGGAAGCTTCTGTATTTCAGGAAGATTTTCTTCTATCACTTTTTTTGCATTTTTGTAAATTACATAAAGCACCATTTGAAGTATTCCGAAGATGAATCCCAGCACATTTGGAATCTAGTCACACGAAAAAGAAAATAAAAAATTATTATTATGTATATATTTGCACGTGTGCATTTGTTTTATGTATAGTATAGACTTACGGCAATGTTATAGTCTTTGAGCAATAACCCATAGAAGAACCACATGACAGCACTTAACGTGAGGAAAAACGATAAAAGAAACGGCATATATTCCACACTCTTAGTCCTTATAACTTGTCTCTGCATATCAACAAAAAAGACAAGATTATGTTGAAATAATTAAATTGCATATTAGTCGAGAAAGGAGTCTAATTTCAACGACTTACAACAAGTTCGGCCAAGCTCAAAAGTTACTTTTTGTAATCGTCTTTGTGATAATTTATTCATCTTTCTTTTACATAAAAAAAAAAAAAATTTACTAAAATAAGTAACTTATTTTTAACTTTAAGAAGAATAATTATTTTGTTTGACTTAAATTTTTTTGACTTTTTAAGCTTAACCAAACGTGTAGAGGAGAAAAAAACAATTTAGCAATAATTAATCTTACCACAATGCACAAAGGTGCAACAAATACACCTAAAGAAAAAACAAGGCAAATCCATCCTATAATAATGGCTTGAGGGGGTCCCTTTTTTGCTAGAAAATGAGTTAGCAGAATTATAAGACCAAAGCCAATCACATTAAGCAGAAGCAGCAGCCTCACAGTTTCGATCTGTAATGTGAAAATTCGTCTCAAATGCTAATTTATCGTAAGAGTTAGACTACAAAAGTGTCGATTATTTTACGTACCCTGGAGATTTTTGGAGCGTAAAAGACATAGAAACAAATGTATATGGTTTGAATGAAGCATCCAACTGAGTTTATGGTGATAAGAAGGGTGGTGTCTGGCTTGAGAAATGCATAATATATCCACAGCATGGAACTGAATAAACCAATTATGTAAGGAACAGATTGGAACCCTTGTGTTGATTTTTTCATGTGAATTTGATAAAAAGTTGGCCTGTAAAAGTAAAATAAAATTAATTTCATCAAAATGAGTTGTTTTGAGTGATAAAATAAGTGAAAATATTAATTAATTAAATGAAAGTATCATGAAAATATATAAAGGGTACACTTACAGTGGTGCAAGGTAAACCAAGAATGAAACAATACTGCCTGCAAATTGAAGACAAATCAATATATTTAATTTGCATAATATAATTTTGTACAAATTAAAATCATTAAGAAGATTTGTCAAAATCAATTAAGATTAGCCATGCATTGCATGACGTGATGTCTATGATCATAAATATGATATCTAGGGTATAATTAATTATTTATTCAATAATTTTACATGCATAAATGATACCATTTGGGAGATAATTAAAAACGAGAAGATAACATTCTATTAATTGTACCTAAGATGCCAAATGCGAAAGCCAAGTGACTCATTCCGAATTTCGACGGTAACTCCTCACACAGAAGTGTATTCAAAGGAAAGACTAATTAATTAGCTCTTACAAACACATGACTAACAATGTTGTGCTAATTCATTTATATAGAAGTGGTGGAACACTGAATTAGATCAATTTCATGGAAGAAAGGGGTGAGAAAGTATCAAATGCAACTTGGGTTGGGGTGGGGTGGGGTGGGGCGGGCGCGGGGTGCGGTGAGAGTGTAAAATTGACTGATTTAGTTGGTATTTCAAATGGCTCGACATGTCTCAAAATGGGTAAGGCAAAAATAACTTTCAATCATAGTGCGTTTGCGTCAGAAATCCAGTTGGATGCTCCACTCAATTAATATTTATGTTCTGTGTTTGTTCGCCATATGAGCACGGGCTTGCCTGGTTGGTTTTTATAAGTAGAGGTAGAGTGAAAGCCTCTTTATTAATTCTTTACAGCTATTAAAAACTCAAGATTATTGATACCTATCACAATCCAAAATGCTTTTTCTTCCCCATGCTCCATTTAACCATATTTAGAGGGTTTCTACAATTCACACATATTCCTTTTTCCCAAGCCCATTTAGCTCTATTGCAGGTATATGACCCAAATGAGTGGCCCCAACTGGGCTCTTTCTGATGTGTCACCCACCCATCCACTTGGGCTTAAGGTTTACAACTCACACTTAGAGTTTATGGGAGTATTTGGTGCTCCATGTTTAAACCCTGGATATACTCTAATTCAGCAAAACCAAATAAAGAACAAGGAAAGAACCAATCAGTTGTTGCCATGTCATCATCAATAATACAATTATACACATAGCATAATGGCCACTTGTGTATGTTGGTTGTGCAAGGCCTAACTATCAAAATTTTCATCTCAACTATAGAAATCCCAGAGTGGATTCATGGTACAAAAGTTCTATTAAAAGCAATTGAAGCTTGCATTAGACTTTGGTCATTTATTTAAAATATTAAATTGTTATAAAGGCATTAAAATTGTGCGCGTAGAGACTAGATTCTATTTTAGATAGAATGTTTGTGCGCCATTTCAAACATTGGTGATGGCAAGACTTAAATTCATGATTTTTTTATTTATTTATTTTTTACCAAAGTTCAAGGTATTAGAGAGTGGTCATGTGTATTCGTCACCTCTTCAACGCATGAAATACAATTTTTAGTAAAGTGAAACAAAAGATAAGGGAAAATTGTAGTGGAAGTCCTTAACCTTTTAAATTTTTGCAGACTTTACCCTAATCTTCAATTTGTGCAAACGAAGGTCCTTAACCTTTCAAAAATATGCAGCAGAGGTCCAAATTTTCATTCATTTGACCGTTAGTTGATCAATAAAACTGAGCTTTGACCAATTTTCACCAAATTGAAAGGGATTAAATGATAACTTTGCATATTTCCAACAATTAAAATAATAAAAAAAAATCTATCCCCATCCCAATTGCATCCGCATCCCCATCTTTAACTTCTATTATGAAACAATCAGAGAGGGAGAAGAAATCTAAAATTTAAAATGGAAAAGCTCCTTGTACAGTCCTTATCATTAAATTAGTGTGGGTTGTAAATGTACAGTCACCACTAGAAGAAGATTTGCAAACAATGAGCATGTTACCCTTTCCTTTTCCCACAGCCACCTCTAGTAGGGCTGTCCGTTGGTCGGTTCGGTTCGATTCTGAAGAGACCCGAACCAATCCAAAACTTTCGGGTATTTAATAAATGGACCCGTCGGGTCCAAATATAAATATATAATCGTTCGGGTTCGGTTCGAGTCTGTTCGGTTCCGTTCGGTTCGGTACCATAATTAAATTTTT